TGTTTCCAAATCAGGTCACATTCTGAGGTTCTGGGGGTTAGGGCTCCAATATATCTGTTTGAGGGAGCACAATTCCACTTCTAACAATGTATATCAATTTTCCACTAAGCAATCGAAAAAATGGTAGAAATTTCCTATGTTATTGAGAAAAAAGTTCTAAATTTTTGGAAGTCCTTTTGTTTCGTCCATTTGTTTTGACTCCAAAATAATACCTCTTAGTGTTGGCTAAAAATTCATGTCCTGTGAATATTAACAGCCTCAGCTCTTTGCATTTACCCTTTGGTCAGGAAAATCTATTTGCTCTTGAACGTCAATGATTTGTTTTTAATTCTACTGGCCAGATGTTGCATTCTAGTCACAACATACAAATAATAAAACTTTGAACAAAGCTGCTTGGGTTTATAGGGAAGAAGTATACATACATCTACAAAAATATCCCCCAAAATTACAGCTACCAACACTCAGGTAGGAAAACTTTTACACTGGGCTTCCAAAAAGAATAGGGAGATTGTTTTTTCCCATGTTCCTGAATGGGCCAAACCAAAAATCTGAGCAGCAGAACACCAGCTGCTTCCTCCCCTCGAGCTGGAGTGGGGCATGGTAATGCCTGAGACCGTGGACGAGCCACAAATGCGCAAGCAAGTGTGGCACTTTATTCTGCAGAGAAAGGAAGGAGAGAAAATGTGTTAACTTCACTCACTTCATCGTTCTCTAAGAAAATTTGTCCCCTTAGCATATTCTGTTGCAACATGAGGAAAAAACCTGAATTCCGGAAAAAGTGTTGACTTAATACTTTTAATTTTATCCTTTCACTTGTCCCTCACTTCCTCTCTCCCTTTTGCTCTTTGGTTTTGTTTTAAGCTCCCATAGATGGTTTTCCTAGTTTCTTCAGTGAATGGATCGTAATCCTTAGTATTTACCTATTTTTCTATACTTTTCAGTACTCAAGGAGCACTTACAAACTGTTTCTTCGAGCTCAAATCCCTTGAAAATGTAGTTAAATGATGTAGCTAAATATGCAGATTATGTTAATTTTTTTGGTAGCCAGCCACATTAACCAATTAGAAAGTTGGACTAATTGGAACATTTATCAGGACAGTTCAAAGGGAAGTGAATGGAATGGTGATTTGATCCAGTAACTGAAGGTCCATTCTCAATACTTCGCTCTGGGAATTCTCCCAACAGTATTTGGTTTTTCTTAGACATAGACAACACCATGCTTTTTGTGATTTCAATTATCTTGCTATGTAGTTAAATTGATAGGCCTTGCATTCTGTGGCTCCAGTTTAGAAATTAGTGCTGGTCGTGGAGAGATTGTAAGTCTAGGTGACATTCATTTATTGCATTTACCCATGTTGAGCCATGTGAAAAAAATAAGTTAGATAGGACCCCGCTCACTAAAACCCTATTATCTATGTTATTGCCCTTCTCAGTTGTAGCTTCTTAGATTTGGCCTATTACTTGAATCTATTTGATAAATGTTCTTCCCACAGGCAGTTGTTTTGAGAGAATATAAATATAACACCACATGTCTGAGGACATTAAGCAACCTGGTTGCCTGACATACCTGAGGTGATTGCCTAAATCTCTCAATGTATGTTTGAATTAAACAAAAAAAAAAAAGGAAGCTAATTGGCTGCTTAAGCTCAGCCATTATTCAAAGTCAGTAAACAGGAAATAATTAAAACATGGGGTTTACACTTGTATCCAAGGAGGAAATTGAATGAATTCCAAGTTGTTACAGTTTGTCATTGGCTTAATTTCCTGACACACATTCCCTTTTTCACTCATAGTACATGTGCTTACGTTTAAAAATTAAAAGTGAATCAGAATTGTCCATTTAAAATTTAGGCAAAAAATTATGACATTTAACATCATTGGACAGGTCTGAGATTGCCACAAAACCAGGACGAGGCATAAGTACCCTCTATAAATAGATGTTTGGGGGCCTTCAGAATAGTACAAAAATCCATTTTGCACAGATGTGGAAATGGTGATCTTTTCAAATGTTTTGCATTCTGTTGTGTAAATTTTGTGGAAAAGTTTATTTTCTCAATTCTATTTGGAAGAATTGTCCTTGGCTATTTTTCCTTAAAATTGCCTAATCAGTTGATTTTTTCAGAATTGATTGATTCAATCAATTTAAAATCGACACTTTACTTGTTTTTGAATTTACACCTTTGTCAAGATTACATTACCAAACCCCAGGCAAGGGTACTTTTATGAAAGGGAAAGGAAAAATATGCTAATTAAATATCAAAATTTATTTTATTCTTTTTGCATTATATTCTTTCTGGGTATGGTGCGTGGACTGCTGCTGTGTTGATTGCTGCTGATTGAGCAAATCTAATACTGAGTCTCTTGCATTTTATTTAAATCACAGTGCTTACATTTTCTTTTTTGGAACACTTAAAACTGTTCAGCCTTCTGGGACATACCCAAATTAAGAACTTCTGATTTTGTCTTTCATTGACAAATTTACTTTGTGCAAATGCAGCCTGAAAAATATTTGCTTATGATTAAAAACTTGTGTCCCTATTAAGGGACATTCTTGACATCCTGCCAGTGCATTTTAATAAATTAATCACTTTATACGTGCTATCAGGCATGATGCGTTGTGAATGGACTTTGACTAAGGTCGGTGTCGAGCTGCAGTAATCAGAAGCATGACACGGAGCTTATAAAGTCCACGAGGTCTTGTTGAGGGCTACTGGAATGCAGACTGGCCATCACATGAATTTTCTTCACTGAGCTATTCATCCCACCATATTTTGATAGATTAAAATCGAAGGGAAGACAGTAAATAACAAAAATGGCCTAACATGTAATACAATAATTTACATATCACTAGCTGTGTGACCTGGATAAATTGTGTGCCCACTCTGAGCCATCTTTCCTCAAGTGAGGGGCAAGTTGCAGGGAAAGTTTTTGTGAGGATTTGCCTGAGATAGTTAATGTGGAGCACCTGGTAGTACCTAGCTGATGAATACATGTGTGAGGGAGAGAAGGTGTAAAGGAAAAAAGTATGGATTGATTTTGATTGCCTGTGTTTGCTACAAAGAAATTTAGCGCACACACAAAAATCATGAGCAAAACACCTAAACAGCTGTGTTCAGAACCCTGCACCATCTAAACCATCTCCCCAAGCACTTCTAAATTCTAAGGAAACCAACCATATTGTGAATTGAATGTTCACTAAAGTACCCTTGTTAATTTTCATTATAGTTTGTTAAGCGTTAGAGTGAAGGATCTATTCCAGGCAAAAGAGTATTTAGTACAGTGCCCATTTTATAACACATGGAGGCAATTTTCCTCTAATAACAAAATCATCGTAGGTTTTTAGTTACAGTCTTTTTGTATAGTGTTGGTTATAATTAATACTTTTTGACACTCAATCCTTGATTAGGAAACAAACCCAATTCTAACGTTTTTATAATTTACGTGCTTTCAAGGGTTATTTTGAAGTCAAATGTATAAGCTCCTTGTATCAGTTTGGCTGAAAGTGGTCTCCTCCTGTAAGAACAGTGCTCCAGGTGGGTTCTTCCCAAGACACCTGGACGCGTCCCAGGTGGTGTCGCCTCTACTCTTCAGCTCTGCAGCCCAGCTCCACAAGCTCTGCCCTCAGCCTGCCCACGTTAGAGTTGATAATGCAGCTGATCCATCACTTAGCCTTCTCTTGGGAAGGACTAGCACAATCAAATACAAACATTAAAATCTTCGGCAACATTAGGGTTACAACAGCTAAGTCATATTGAAATTGGAAACCAAAATCATGAGAGAATGAAAAATAGTATGTCCTATTTTATGTGTCATTTTCCAACTAAAACGTTGAGACCTTTTCAACTTCCAGGACAGATTTGTGTGTGTGTGTGCGCGCGCGTGTGTGGGCATGCATTATAACTTTGTAAGAAGATTTTGGTGATTGCCAGTGTAATATTACCAATTGTAGCAAACTTTTCTCTTTTCATCAATGATGTTTAAGAAAATGAAAAATAAACCCAAAAAAGAGAGAGAGAAGGAAAGATAATGCTGAAGTTAACCAGCTGCTTCCTCAAAGGTGATGGGCACCCCAGGTGGTGTACAAAATTAACCATAGGAGTACAACAAGAAAATAGTAGAGCTGCTTTCTAATTTTATCTAACACTTTACTTTTTTACTTTTATCTATTTAATGATCCACGTAATCTAGATAGATACTTAGGCATATATTGAGGGGAGTGGCTGCTGAAAAGCAAATTTATATAAGTGCATAATCAAAAAAGTTCAAAGACCACTCCAGGAGACACTAAGGGGGAGAGACTCAGTCTTTGTTTCGAGGTCATTTATCAGAAGAAAAAAATATGTTAAGGAAGGAAAAAGTATTTTATTGTAGTATGTATTTTACATTTTTTAAGTTAAATACTTTTATATTAAGCTCCATATTGCTTCTTTGTTGTTTGAGGAACTTAACCTATTTTTATACTCTTGTTTATGTCCTTTTATGTTATCCGCACCCGTTAATACCTACAGTAACTACAGAAGACAAAGAGCGTGAGTGTTGTTTACTGACGTGCTCTTCATTGCTGGGGCGTCATTGCTGAAGTGGCTCTCACTTAACAGGAATATTTGGTTGGCTGTTTCTTACTTTCATCATCACGTTAATGAGCTGTAATTAGCTTTATTGAGATAATTGAGGATGTCATCTCTTTAAGGGTTTATGTGTAATACTGAGTACTCGGATTGGGCTTGTAGAATCAGGTTGTAAAAAGCTTCCTCCTGAAAGTGGGATGTGAGTTACTTTTGCCTTAGGCCAGTCTTGAAAGAAACCTGTCTTGATGGTCTCCCTGGGAGGAGTGGCTGACCTTGGCTGGGTCCAGTGGAGAGTATATTTTACTAACCTTACACATTAGATTAACTCTAATGTGTCAGAACAAAATTTGTGACAGAACAGAGTTTTACTAAAATTGGCATGTTATAATATTAACAGAAAGTATATTAATTCAAAATTTATTTTCCTTTTAGTTCACAGGAAGATGAAAGACCTATGTCACCTTTCTATTTGAGGTATTTATGTGATTTTTGTTGGTTTATTACAGGGAATGGAGGAGGGTTAAGGCTTCTTTGGATTTATTTGCCCATTTTAATTCTTTTCAGTAGAAGCTTGTTGGAACCTTTCACCACATTGTTCATGCTGTATTTTTCTTCTCTTTCGTTTAAGAAATCGTAAATTTTAATATAGTTGAAAAGGCTAAAATAAGATTTTTTTTAATTCAGAAATGTCAAGGTAGCCATTTTAATTTCCAAAACTGCCTGATGATTAGGCTATCACCTAAATTTAAAAATCTCTATTCTATACTATGGACAGGTGGGAGGGGAGTGAGCACGGGGCTCGCTCACTGAAGAAACCTTGGGTTAGACGTTAGATTGTTTTCTAGATGGTGGTGGAGTGTGAAACTAAATATTCAAGTTCGTGGAGTTCAGGATTATTTTCTGAAGTTTACAAAGCCAGAATAACAACTGTTAAAACAAGTTTACAGAATTCGAAGTAGATATTAGACAAGATCGCTTCTCTCCAGATTAGAACGTTGCTGTATTGATGTGATTTTTAGTGAACTATTTGATTTACGTATAACCTAAAACCAAGTTTTTCTTACTTACTGCATTTCTTTCCTCACTACCTGCCCATTTCAAAGGCTTAGAAAATATATTTGAAGAGAATATGACCATGTAAATTGAGGTTAAAATTGCTGAAATTTTTTAAAAATTTTTCCCCAATTTTGAAAATTGTTTTTAAAAGAAATGTCAGGATATGTGATCCATCATTTGTTTGTTTGTTTTTGAGTCTGATTTAGTGCAATAGTCCCAGAGTTAGATTTCGACTTGAATTCAACCACCGGTAGTTCAGAAATGTGTCGTAGGACTCCAGGCTTAGCCAAGTGACTGCTTTTCAAACGTGTTCTGCCCTTTGGGGACTTGAAGCATGTTGCGTAATCACTTTGTGGCAAAGAGAGGGAACATTTGAGGTTTCAGTTTGAGACAACATGGTCGTCCATTTGATTCATCCTGGTTTCCTGCCAACCGAATCAACATGTTCTTGTTCATAGGCTATCTCAGCTGTGCAATTACTGTAAACACATGAGGATATTGTGCTGAGTACATGGCAACTCTGGTATTCATCACGTAAATATGCACAGTAATACCAAACAAATGATTATCACATATTAATGGAAATTAAGTTTACACAGTACAGAAGACTACAGCACCAGATCATGCCAAATAACGAGAACTGTTAGTTCTCCGGATGTCTTATTTTTATTACTCTGGGTAACATCAATCTATGTTTTATGTAGTATTGAATTTTATTTTTTTTTAGCACTATTTTTAAAAGCAGATAGGGAAGTGAGTTTGTAAGTCTTAAGTCCTCAAAGACACATAGTTGTGTCTTATCGTGTGATAATTTTTGCAGTTACGTAGACTAATAGCGTAGACTTGATGAAGAAATTCTGTACCTGCAAAATGAAAGTAAAGGAATGTAAAGATAATTAATCTATTTACTGAACTCTTGATAGAAGCTATTTGACCTTCCAATGTTGACTCATAAAAACTAAAATATGGTAAAAGTAGGAAAAAAGAATGAATATGCATACTAGCCCACATTTGTGGTAGAGTGAAGTGGCCGAAAAAGGAAAAGTTACCAGCAGTTACCTCTTTTCATATGAGGGAGATTTAAACTAAGTAGAGCTATTTCATGAATGCAAAAATAGTAATTATTTGGCCCAAAATTAAAATTCAAAATGTAGCTTCTTTTTCTGAGTAACATTATATGATAGTCTTAGAAATTATGTAAGAATAAGGTCAGTACAAGTTAACTTTTTTATTACCCACTTGACATGAAGCAAGGAAGTTTATTTGTAAAACGTGAACCTATTTTTTTTTTTTTTTTTTTGAGGAAGATTAGCCCTGAGCTAACATCTGCTGCCAATCCTCCTCTTTTGGCTGAGGAAGACTGGCCCTGAGCTAACATTTGTGCCCATCTTCCTCTACTTTATATGTGGGATGCCTACCACAGCATGGCTTGCCAAGCGGTGGCATGTATGCACCCAGGATCTCAACCAGCGAACCTGGGGCCGCCAAAGCAGAAAGTGTGCACTTAACCGTTGCACCACTGGCCCCTGAGCCTATTTTTTTCCCCCAATTATTTGCATGACTGGTTTGAGATTGATTTCTCTTGGGTTATTCTAGAATACAGAATTCAAGTAGAAGAAAGAAAACATGATAGTTAATTATGCTTAATTCTTCTAGATTTTTCAACTAGAAATACAATATGTCCACTGTTAATTTAATTTATAAATTAGTACACATTTTTTTGCACTACCTCCAGTCAGAGCAAATGACTGCTTAAATGTTTTAGATAAATTTCTGTTGCTTCCTTGTCTGCCATTTCTTTCCCTCCCACTTTGTTACTTAAGATTCCTTTGCTGCAATGCTCAAGAAGGGGAGTCGTTGCAAGACTCATGAATTTCATAATGGTTTGTTGATGATGATGATGAAAAGCTAAATTGGCTCTTTCAAATCCAAAATAATATTTACTGTGCCTTTGAAAAGAAGTGATTGGTAGTTGCAAGATATCGTCCCTGACTAGAAACATGGAATATAGAATGCTGTATGTTGCATGTTGACAGTCTTGATTGGTCGGGTTTTCCGGGGGCGGGGCGGGGGACGGGAGGCAGGGGAGATGAAAGGCCCAGTCAAGAGATGAGACACATCAGCTGAGATGAGTACTCACCAGAAGTAGATCCAGTCACAAGCGGCCAGGCAGATGACATGGGGATGGGACAGCTAGTCAGTGGTGGGGTATTCGGTTCGGTGGTTTGTTCTAAAAGATCCAGCATGAGCTATAATGGTAAAACTCAGCGGCTACAAGTCTGGGAGTGGGCAGTCTTCAGGGAGACCAGATCAAGACAGAAAGAAGATGCGAGCAAAGCAGGGCCCCAGTCTCAGAGGAAGAAGAAGAATGATCCATAAAGGCACTCAGACAGGTATCCAGCTATTGGAGTGGAGACAAGGTGCATTAATTATAACGACAAGACCGAGTCTGTATCTGGGTAGAGGATAGAGATGGAGAGCATATGGGGAGCCTGTGGTGCCCTGCTGGTGGAGGTTCCAGAACCTTCTTGTAGCTAGAGGTAGGAGGGTGGGACGCAGGAAGAGGGAACCAGAGAGGCCATTTCCGTCGTTATCTTGCTCCACTTTTCACCTTGTAGAATTTCAGTTTCTGTGATTGCGATTCTTTGTTAACCATCATGGCTGAACCACATGTTAATGTACTGCACATTTCAATTGGCTTTAATCCTTTCTGTAGTAAGGTAGGGCTGTTATAAACAGGCACTCGTATATTCTCATTCTAGATTAAACATCTTCTGTGATAAGAACTCTGTCTTCTCTGATTTCAGTACTTCTCCAGCCTAACCTAACTCGCCACAGAACCATTTGTCCATTTTTGCAAAGGAAAGAAATAGTAGCTACAAATCTCCACCTACCGCTGTCCCATGTGGCAAGTTTTTGCAGCTCCAGTAGTTCAAACAGTAGGTGTCATTGTTCCCCAGATGCTCATTAGAGATTACACGCCCTGTTGAAGTGATTAAGGAAATGAAAGGGAAGGGCAGGTTATGCCAAACCCTTAGTGAGATTGCCACAAAATAAACATGAACCTGTAAACTTAAGGTGAAGCACATTCTTGGCCAGGATGTCCATACCCTGGCTTCGTTCATAGTCTCGGCTGGAATCCCAGAAAAGGAGGCCTCTACCTCAGTTGCTCTAATTAGCATTGAAGCAACTTGCTGTGGTTGTTCCTCTGTGCCGCATTCAGACTGTTATTGTCTAAGTTCTCCTGCCTGGCATCTGGTCAGATCTGGCTAGGATCTGTTGCTAGTTTTACTTGTTTGTCCTAGTCTTCAGTGTCTGCAAGCCTGGGTTTTGATTTCTGTGGTTATCTCCACCGGACTAGCGTTCATAATCTCCACTTTCTATTCCTGTTCATCTCTACCTGCTCCTACCTCACCTACGCTACCTGCTGATTGCTTATGACCAGGGACAGATCCTGTCCTCATCCCATCCTACCAGACTTCGACCCTTGAACTCCTCCTTCTTTCAAGTTGCTGGATTATACACGTAGTATGTATACCTTGAATCCGCCTTTGCCTGTGCTTTATCAAAATTCTAAATTTGTGCTTTGGGGCCACATGCCTATAACCAGTTTTATTCATTGGGCCCCTGGCCTCTGTATGGTGGTTCCTCGTTTACCTAATACTTGTCTTCTATCATCTGCACTGATTTTCCTCTGCTTTCTCTTTCTCATTTTATGCTCTGTTGAAACTCTGAAATTGACTGTCTTTATTAATTTCAGCCCATGTCTTAATACTTAAGGGTGCAAATTGAAGCTAACTTACTATTTTAGCAGAGTTGGAATTGCTTAGGGTCAGTTTCAGTATTTCACATGTTTTCTAATTTTCCTGAATCAGGAACATCACAAAGATTTATTTCTAAATTAGCTGTTTGGCATACAAACTCATTCTTTAGGATTTGCTAATTTTTTATTCCTGGAACCTAGGAACCATCAATTTTATGATAGGGAAGAAAAAATTTAGCTTTAGGTAAATTCAGATTAAATATTACCTGACATTGGATGGAACCTAGAAATTATATCATAACACTCCTATCTTGATATGTAGAAAAATTCTTTCTAGATCATTTTTAGATAGCTTTTTGGGAATTATCTTTCCAAACAACTTATGGTAGGATTTGTAGGTTTGTGATTTTTTTTGTTCATACTTTATTAAATTTTTAATGGTTTCTTTTTCTCCTTAACCATACTGTATGTTTTGTAAATTATCATTTTGAGGTAAAATTTTCTCATTCTCAAATGGGATGGTTTGGAGAAGTGTAGCATTTCAAACATTATATTTGATTATAGGCCTGTTTCGGGCTACTGGCTAACAAGTGGAACAAACAAGCAGGCTGTTTATTTAATTATATACTTAATTTTATCCCAGATGATAAAGTCA